ACTTGAAGCTAAAACTTAATTAAGTGATAAACTGATAATTATCAAATTAAATTACTTCTTAATATATACTATAATTAACTTATCTGAATGGCAGTTATCTTTGCCATATTTTCAATTGCCATTCCCTTATCAATTTTACCCTTTCCCCGTTCCTTTCCTTTCTCTTCTTTGGTAATATTCGTCTACATTATCTGTGGCTCTCCTTGTCCAATGCTTCGAAAACTGTATTATCACGCGGTCGCAACGTTTGTCGGTTTTCTTTTGCTGTTTTGTTTCGCTTCGTCGGGGATTTCATTTTGGTTTTTCTTTTATTTATTTGTTGCTTTTGTTTTTGTTGGTGCTTGTCTCGCATTGTTGCGCCTGGCTGTTTGCTTTTGCACTTTGCTTCGTGTTTTTGTATTGAGAGGTGTTTGCGTTTTTGTTTTTTTATTTTCCTTCCTTCCTCGCACTCTCTCTCTCTCTCTGTCTCTCTTTTTCTGTTTCTCTCTGTTCGCCACCTTGCTTACCTTTCGGTGTTTCTTGTTAGTCACTCTTTGGTAGCGTTCGCGAACGTTAGTGAACGGCGCCGGGCCTTTTTAATCGTCGATCCAACTAAACAAAAACACAAAACACACGCCCCTTTTTGCACCCACGCCTCTGGAATTATCATAAACGAGTGCTGTCGGTGTGTGTGCAAGTGAGTGTTTTACTGTTTCTGTGTGTGTGTGTGCGTGTGTAAGTTGGAGGTCTTAACGGTAAACGGGCTGGAAAAGTGGAGCGATAATAAAGAAAACGACAAAAAAACAAACAGTTGAGAATCGGAATATAATGCGTGACATGTGTTAACCCCCAACAAGGTAAAGTGTTGTTGTTGCCAGGGGCGGAGACCAAACAGAATTACAAAGGGGATTCTACAGAGAGGAGTTATTCAAGTTAGTGAGAAATAATTATCTCATTACAAAATAATTTTAAACTTTTGCTTAAAGTGGGTAATATTATTTTCTCATAATCCTTAACCCTAAAAAACCCCCCAATGCTTTGGCCCGTCAATCACATGAGGGCATCAATCAAATGCCGACTCTGAAACTGAGACAAAGAAGAATCAGCAAAAGACACAAAGAGAGAGAAAGATTGCGACACGAAGAAGAACTTTCACAAAGCGCTGTTGTCGCCTGTGATTTTGTTTCTACAGTTTAACTTCTATAACTCGAAGGTTCCGTATTATTAAATTTTTGTAAAATGTGGAATGTTGTAAAATGTGGAATTTGAACTGCAGGTTAAAATGCACGGCTTAATATGCAAAGCTTCACCCTACTTTACTACTTGTGTTTTGTTTATTTACAAATTCCTGTCAATGGAAATTTTGTGTTTTAGTATGGCTTATTTATTCAAATGATATTTCCCCTTACTTACAATTTGTACTTACTTTTAAATTGACCAATTAATTCGTTATACATATATTTGTTATACTTTAGACCACTTAAAGCATGGATTTTAAATCATATTGTCAGTGGTTACACAAAATTAACCACGATTTTAAATTCCCTAAAAAGGTGACTAAAATAAATTCAATAAAATATTTAAATACACGTTTAAATAGATTTTTAAAATGACACTGAAGCAGTATTGATTAAAATATTGCAATATTTCCAATGTGTCGAAGATGATTGAAGTTTGACTGTAGAAAGGGGAACTCCTCTGTCGTCTGTTGAATATCATTTTGCGGCTCGACTCGCTTCACATTTACAACTTCCGCTACTGGTGTCACCCTTTCCGCTCTCTCCCCCCACTATCATTTTTTTCCCTTTTCTTTTCTTTGTCAACTCAATGGCCGCATTTCGAAAATTTAAAACTTCGCGCTGTTGAAATCGCATGCATACGAAAATGAATACGAGCGGCGAATAAATAAAATAAAATAAAGAGCGCGTAGGCTTAATTTCATGTGTACATATTTACACACAATTTACATTTTCGGACGGTTTCGGGGCTTGAGTTTGAGTTTGAGTATTAGTTTTCGCTTTCGCAATTGTTTTGTGTGCTGCCCAGTGTTTGTTGGCTTAAAAAAAAAAAAAAAATCATACCCACCCCCCTTTTGATGACCTCCCCCGCTCGAAACGCTTGCACAGCTGTTCGGCTCGAGCGTCTATGATTGAAAGCAGCTGTTGTTGCTTGGCAGAAAAATTGGGTCAAACTGTTGCTCAGTTGTGGCTCAGTGGGGCTCAGTTGTGGCTCAGTGTTGCCGCGTTTGCTGTTGCCACTGGCTGAAAACCAACCAAACTTGTCTCTTGTTGGCCAACAACAAAGCTGAGGCAAAGGCAATAGCAACAGCAACAGCAACAGCAACAGCAGCCCGATATCTCAAGCTCAGATTGCGATCAGCAGTAAAAAACGATTGACAAGCGGTTTACGGTTCTGTTGGCCAAGTTTAGAGATGGAGAGACAGACACTCGATGGCCAAAGAGAACAGCAATCAGCGAACAGAAGCCGGCAGAAGAGTAATCGCCATGATTGGCAGTGGTTCCCACCAAAGACTATTAATTTATTCTTGAATTGAGGAAATAGATTAGTGGGAAAATGAAGTTGGTTATTAGATAAATGTGTTTTTAATTAGTAAAAAATTTTAAAAACTATATTTAGGGGATTTGTGAAAATACAAGAACAGAATAAGGTAGTTCTGATTTGTAACTGGCAAGTTTTAGCTCTATTTGGTTTGTTTTTCCAATATCTTAATACAAAAATCACCTTGAAATATTGCACTAATGTCCCAACTATATTTAGTATTTAACGTGCAATTAGCATAGCCAATATTTAACTCAAATAAATCATAAAAGTTTAAAGTTCAAGCTCATCAAATATTTTTTTATCAACAACAATCTCTTATTCAAGTCAAAAGTATTATGATAAATTTATCAACTTGCTAGATTTATTCACTTTATAGAGTTATTTAATGATTTTGAATAATAAAATAAGTAAATATTATCTCGTTTTGTTTAAACTTTAAATAAATTGTTATAAGCATAAACTTGGCTCAAAGTTCAAGCTCATTGAACTAGTTTTGTGGACTAAAATCAGATATAGTAATGAAAAAAGAAAACCTGTCATTAAGTTATTTCATTTATTGTAAATCAGTTATTTAATATATAGATTGTTTGGCAATTATTTGCTAAGCTAGCTGTAAATAAATTGTGTTTAGCTTCCCTAATCAATTATTATATTGTATTATCAATTATTATCAAATTGAGTGATTTGCCAAGTGATGTAATAATTTTCAAAGCTATTACATGAATTGCATTTTTAACAATCAACAAATAGGGTTTATTTTTATAAGCATTTAACCTTTAACTCTTAAAAACAGTACGTTTTCTTCAGATTTTTTATATTTTTTCTATTTACTAGCTTCTGCTATTCATATATATTATTTTATAAATATTTTTAATTGCTAAAACACATTGTCTAGATTTATGGGCTCATAACTATTACATTTTTAGGTAGAACTGTCAAAACTCTCTTATCTCTAAGCTGGAAATAAATTTTGTGTGTTCTGTAACCGTGCCTATCAATATCGTGTGATCTTTAGCTGATAATACATAGTGGTTGAAAATATATGTATATTCATCGTGTTACAGCCCTTATGTATAACATATAGGTGGTCGTCTATATATATTTGTATGAACATATAGTAGAGATACAACCGCCTGTTGGTGGACTGCGGTTGGGCTGATAATGTAGCCAAAGCCTTGACTATAAATATTTCATTTATTATGTACTTACATACATATATATATATATGTATGTGTGCGAATGAATTATTATTACACTGACAGCGATGGCCACGTGTGGGCCTATACGCTCCCTCCCGTCGATGTGAATTTATCAGATGATCGTTTATATTATAAACTTTATAATAATAATAATGCCAGATCATAATTAGATCCGCAATAACAAAAAAAAAAACTCGTTTCGGTAATCAACAAACACATGATCGCACAATCAGAGTGCAATCGTTGGGAATAATAGGGGTCATTGGAATCGAAGTCGGCATCGGGAATTGTAGAGCCTCTCAAACTGTGCACACTTCGTTGTGCTGTAAGAGAATTATAAAATAAACAAACAATGCGAATGGCTTTTCATTGTTCTTGTTTTCTTTTTGAGCGTGTGCCTGGTTAGCTTGTACTTTTCCACCTACAGTGGAAATTGGGAATAAATTAACAAAACTTTTTTCTTTAAAATTAGTTTGATATAAATGCAGTATGCATTATAAATACTTTACCACAAATTCTAAATAAAATATCCCTTTGTAATATAACTTTGTAATGCTTTAACGGTAATAATTAACCCTTAATTAGAATACAACAAATTGGGGTTTTAGAGGCTTGCATGTTGGTGCAGTAAACACCAACAACTGCAGTGATGGCCACATATTTACAGTTAATCGAGGTAGCGAGCAAGCAAGCAAGACTCACACCACAACCACACCACCACCACCACTACGCCACACGCCCACTTTGTCTTCGCCGCTCGTCTGTCATCGTCACACAGTTTGAGCAGCACTGTGGAGCTGGCTACACTCGCTCTCAGTTTTGCTTTTGTGATCTGCACAGTGGGACAAATGGTCCAGTGTAGATGAAATTGAGGAATAACTGAGGAGATTTAAGAAGAATATATTTTGCATAAATTATTTATTATAAGTAAATATAGTTTTAGGTAGTCTAATTTCTATTATATTTTTTCTATATATAAAAACTGATTTCTGAACTATAGAATTTCAGTACGAGGACCTAAATATAGGGTTCTTTAACATAATAATTCCATTAAAGCTACATTTATGTATATTCCAACTCTACTAAAAGTTAAGTTCTAGTTCATCCAGCTTCTCTTCTTGTCTAGACATAATAGTAAATCAGACTCTTGCGCATTTGTCCCACTGTGCTATGGGGCCGCTCTGCAGTCGCTTTTCCCCAATCGCTGTCCCATTCCCATTCCGATTCCGGCTGCCGTTTGTTCAGTTGAGAGAACGCAACGCTGCCGCTTGGTTGGTGGGGGCTTTCGTCGCTCGTGATTTACTCGTGGTGGTTGGTTCGTGGCGCGATCGAACGTTGGGTCACCGATCCAGACCGATACTAACCGATCTTAACCGATCCTCCCGCTTGAATATGCATAACACTTAATGTTCCAATAGCGCGAAATATAAAGACAACACACAAAGTGACGGAGTGAGCGTTACATGCTGCGGTTTGGCAGCTACATGTACATATACAACGTGAACCGCTCTGCCACATCTACATATTCGCGTTACGTGACGTAACAGCGTACTTTTTGTTATTGTTTGGCCTGCTACCCAAACGTGTGACTATATATACGTATAAATATAATACATATATACATATGTACGTTTTTCATGAACGCGTTCGTGATCTTTGAAGCAAAACAAAGCCAAAGCCAAAAACCGAAGCAATTTCACCGCAACGAAAAGCAACATAATCATTGGTTTTCTATACCTACGCGAACTTGATCATGTAAAAGCCCGTGAAATATAGACATATAGCGGTTATATAGTGATTACTTTCATTCAACGTCATGGCTTATAATTGATGTAAATGTGAATGCAAATATATAAATGGGAATGTAAAGTGAAAACAACGACTAAACTTGGGTTCATTCTCAGCGGTTCTAAAGGCACTGTGTGTCCGTCGGTCATGTCCAAGTAAGTTGGAAAAAACACCTGTTTGTGGCTCACAAACTGTGCCTGCACAGGTAACAGGTTATCGCCCACCCTGTTCAGTCTCTCTCTCTCTCTTTCTCTGTTTCTCGTAATTACTCTGGTGAATAAAAACAAATAATAATAACTTGCACACTCACATAACATAATAATTATCATTAACATAGGCATTCAATTAAAACGTTTCGCATTCGTTGTGTTCTCGTTCTTGTGTTTGTTTTTAAATTTGAAGTCAAATAAATAAAATCGGGCTACAAATTATTACTTATATGGAAACAGCATCATTAACAATCACAGTGTGTTGAAATTAAATTAATTTTTCGCTTAGGAAACAAATTCGTTTCTTTAATAAAAGAGGGGTGATCTTTTAAAATATTTAATAATTTAGATTTTAAAGAAATTTAGAAGGGATCTTAATTATTAATGTGTGGATACTGATACAAATTCTTTTAAATATGTTTTATTTTAAATAATTGCTTTAACAAAAATTAAAAAATGATGTACCGAGTCATCTATTAAAATTAAATGTTTATTTAATTAGTTATAATTAATATTAAATCAGTTCTTTAAACAGAAAAAACTGTTTGGTTTACTGCCTAGGTTATTCCAAAAATGGTATAATAAAATTCCATTATTTTCTGCCATTTTGATTCCTTGGAATTTGAAATAAATGCATTAAAAATATGGAATAAACCCAAAGCTTTACTCTTACTTACTTAAAATTCAATCAATAAATAAATACGCTCTCTCTTTCTCTTTACCCAAAATTTGCACGAAAAGCGAATAATACAACCTGCTCCATATAAATATAAAAAGTTTATGTACGAGTATATGTGGGGTATACAATATATATATAGAAAGAGAGGATTCAAGGCCAATATCACTTGTTTTCACTTGAGGCATTGGCCCCATACCCCGAAAAACAACAAATGTTTTGCTTTTATAATTACATTTTCTTTTTATTGGTTCTTTTTTCACTTTCACAAAGTCGCCGCCTTAGGAAAATGAAAAATAAGAGTCCGCTTAGCATTGATTAATTATTCGAATATCCGTTCAAAATTCAAAAAAAGAAGGATATATATTTTAAAGTATAAGAACGTTTGATTCGTTATGACGCCGCTTCTTCCGAATTGTCTATATAGCAGAAAGGTATAGTGTTTAGCACCTGAGAAATCGGGAATATACATATGTATGTATATATTATGTTCTTTTTTGTGTGTGAAACATAAGAGATGCAAATTTAAAAAAGAACTGACTATGCCTAATATAGTTATTGTTGTTTACGCGCAGAAATTGCGTCTTTAACTTTTGACTGGGCAACCTCTCACCATAACAACAAAAAATGAAGCGGAATTAGAAGCGATCTATCTATATATATATTGCGCATACTCCAAAAATGTTAGGCCTTCTCCTATCGCATCGATAACTGTGGAAAATAACAAAAATATATGTATATGAAACAGAAATAACAACAGAAAAGAGTAATATAACACACAGCGAAGGAACAGTTTGATGGGGTAGGCGACAGGCAGGCTTATCGGCTCACACACCAAGTATTTCTGTTGATGTTTGTTTAATTGATTTCTAATCAATTATCATCATGTGTGCGTGTGTAGTAATGCCAAGCTTCTCCCTCTCTACCATTTCCAGATACGGCTGCTATGGATCCAATTTTCTTCTCGCAAACGAATGGTATACCGTCAGAGAGTAAACTTGCAACATATATGGTAAGTTTTGATTTCCTTATCCTTCTTTCCCAGAAAATTGAGAGTCATCTCCCCAGAGTCCCCTTCACACGATAACACAGCAGTTGAGAAAGAAACTTTAAATAACTTTATTAATCGGAAAAGAAATAAATAAAAACAGCTGCTTGCCCCGCTTATAATCCAAAAGTTAACAGCTCGAGTATTTTTTAATTATGATGCTTTATTTGTTTTCACTCAATTTGCTTCGAAACATTTCAATTTCAACGCTCAACCGCACATAATATACACTTGACCGACTTTTTGGTTTTTTAGTATTTTAGGAACCACAACAAACTGCCATATAAGTCGGTGTGTTGTGTGTGTGCAAGTTAAATATCAATTTGTGTTTATGCATGGATTTTTTATTCGCTCTGAGGGGTGTGCAAAAAGTCCATATATATGGTATATATGTATATATATATATGTATGTAGTGAAAAAGCTCTGTAGCATTATTAACAATAAAATATTTAAATGGAGGCCATTGTGTTAGCTGCTGCCGGTGCATAATTGCTCTGGAAATGTGCTAATGATGGAAATATACATATATATGAGTTTTAATTGCATTTTGGGTGTACTTTCCGCTCGAAATTAATTTCAATTCACTTTAATAATTCAAAGATCAGCAAATCCAATGGAGCAGAGCAAAGCAATATGGTCCAAAATACTATACAAAATTATTAAGCAATGAAAGTGCAGGAATAAAAGGTTATTTTTCTGGCAGCTATAATTTTGATTATATTAATTGAATCAAATAAATAAATAGTAAATATTCCGAGTATTAACTACAAATGAAAAGAAATTAAAGATAAAAACTACATTTTCTAAGGTATATTAAGTATTTGTATTTGTAGATAATAGTATTCTCTTTTTTTGTTAAAAGTCAGCTTATGTATTCAAACCCCAAATTAATAGTAAGGAACATAATGTTTCCACCTAGATATTTTTATACAAAACGGCCCTGCAATGTCTATTATTTCCAGTTCTTATAAACATCAGATAAGATAGTAAATACATAAAAAACCAAACACAATATCTAACTCCAATGGGGGCAGAACTATATAAAAGCCATAACTTCAACAACAACTTCAAAAACCACTCCACCAACAACTTCAACATCAACTTCAACAACAACTCCAACAACAACTAAACGTCTTGCTTTATTTATTCATATCTATTACTCCAAATGAACTCTACTTATTATTTTGCTCAAGTGAATACAATCTCTCTCCCTCTTTCTCTCTCTCTCTCTTGATCTATTTTCTTATTTGTATTTCTCTGACTCTTTTCGGTTTCCTTACTCCAAATCTAAACTGATTTTTGGTGTCTTCATATATCTCAGAATCGACAGAATGTCGCCACACCGAGCGGTTATGGGCTGAATAACGGGTTCTCACTTCTTAATTTGGATTCGCCCTTAAATAAAAAGTCCCAGGTAAAGACCTAAAATATCTGCTGGCCCCCTCCAACACCCTCCCCCAACGTTAGTTCTGTCTGTGTTCCGTGAAATCCAGAGATAAAGTTCTAGAATTGTATATGTATAAACTTTAGTAGAGGTTTAGTATCCTCCTTCGGGCGTTGTTATATAGAGATTGTTTATAGTGTGTTTGGTAAAAGTAGAAGAAGTAGTTACAAGTAGAAATCCTATATTCCCCAAAAAATGTATATAAGTAAGTTTCCCATTATACATTTATATATATTTGTGTGTGTTTTTGGCAAGATCTAGCGAAAGTTGATTTAATTAAAGTGTTTCTTAAGAAAATTCAATTAGATAAGTCAATGGTTAAAAGTTGTAGAACCATCTATGGATAGTTAAAAGCCTTGGTTTGAAGTTAAATCCCCTTACGCAAGCTCTTGCCTCATAAATAAGCTAAATCTAAGCTCTTAAAATCCCTAGCTTAATCATTTTATTAAATGGATTCCCCACAGGTCACACCGCAGTCGCCCGAGTTCATTCCAACGCGCATTAACTCGTCGCCCAACTTTTACGCACCATATCACAACGCACCCATGCAATTGAGTAATGGGCTCAGTGGCGTCAATGGGTTAACAGCCGCAGCAGCAGCAGCAGCCGCAGCAGCAGCCGCCGCGGCCGCCTCAGTGCCCTCATCCACAACGTCGGTATCCTCGGCCGCCTCTGTGACCATTAGCAAAACGGCCAACGGTGGTGCCTCCATGCTCTCCTTGCAGAAGACCGCCTCCATTGCCACTGTCAACATCGCACAACAGCAACAACAACAGCAGCAGCAGCAGCAACAGCAGCAGCAACAACAGCCGCAGCATTCCCAAAAACAGCAACAGCAGCAGCCTCCGCCACTACAGGTGGGCGGTGGAGCAGTGTCGGCTGTCTCCGCCCCCATAGCAATCAGTGGCGCTCCACCGAATCCCGCCGCCGCTCCATTTGTCAGCATGTCCGCTCAAACACCGCTAAAGGGACGAGGAGGAATGTTACGCCAGGAATCACCCACGGCGGCCATGCTGGCGGGTGGTGGACCCGGCGAAAAGTCACCACCGCACGGTATGACGCCGCACGGAGCCTCACCCATACCCACAACATTACCCACGAGCGTCCATCAGGTTGGTGTTGTGTAATCTCTTAATCAAAAGAAGTCATCGTACTAAATATGTTAATTTTTGCAGGAGAATGTCGGCGGCACCATTTACTTCTATCCAACTGCCAACGCACAGAATAGCCAGCCTGTTGTCAATTCCGTGGTGGTGGATACAACGCATCCAGCCCACCATGGCGTCAGTGCTGTGGCGCCAATGAGCGCCGTTGGCGGTGTACCACCAACGATCATGTACACGGGCCATGTATATCCAGGTCCGGCGTCTAACGTGATCACGTTGCAACCGAAGACGCAGTTGGAATCGGCTTTCTTTATACCGGATGAGATGCGTACCGAAATCCTTGCCCGCAACGAGATCTCTAATTTGATTATGGATGCAGCGGAGGCTGCGCAGCATGCCCTGCCCATGGAGGTGGATAATTATCATGCTTTGTATCCCCTAGAGCCGCCGGCGCAGCCGTTGCATGCTAAGCTAACGCTACCCGCCAGCACGTACCGGGCCACGCACAATACAACGGGCTACAAGTACTGCCTGCGAAGGTTACACGGTGAGCACATGTCACCTGTTTATTACTGTTTCGAGTAATTTCTATTAACTGAAATTTATTTTTCTTATGATTATTAGGGTTCCGCCTGCAGTCGACCAAGTGCATGACGCTGGTGGAGATGTGGAAGAAGCTGCAGCACACGAATGTGGTACAATTGCGTGAGGTCTTCACGACGAAAGCATTTGGTGATAACTGTAAGTGGTTTGCTAGAAAGGTGGTTTTGGGTTAAGTCATCAGTTTAATCACCAGTCAAGTGTGTGTTTCTGCTGCTCCTGGGAGTTAAGACCATAAGTCATCAGAGTAATTATAAATAAAGAGTTCCTGAAACGGTCCTGACCTCAAAAGTGTTTGTTAAATCAACTTAAAGTAACTTAAATACAAGTTATCAAGGTTTCTTAGATGTTAAAGTACCTTTAATACATGTTTACAATACCTCTTCAATGTTTTGATTAAAAATAGACCTTGTTGAACTTGATAATCAATGAATAATATAATCAGGAAAGTAATAAAACATAGATTATTTGCTTGTCTCAACCTATTACGATAACTGATTCAGTTAGTTGCTATTTATGGCTGCAGAGCACGTCGGTAATCTTAAGGAGACATTATCATGAATTATTTTAAATTATCAAAAAAAGATTTCAAAAACAATACCTCCTAAAGTGCAACCTTTCTTAAGATTTAACAGAATTTAATAATCTTATGACTGAGACACATTTCCGGTTTAATAATACCTCTATAGCCTTGTTAATAATGTTTATTTTACATTCCCAAACAGCTTTAGTATTAGTGTACGATTATTATCCCGGCTCACAAACATTGCTGGCCAAATACTTTACACCGGCGCCAGAGACCAACGGTTACACTGATCCATTCCAAGGCGAGGCACGCCCCTTCAGGTGAGTTTTTCTTAAACTTGAAAGAAAGCAGATCCTACAATAACATTAACCTTTATTCTTACAGTCATAAGAGCAACATGCAGCGAACCAACAATGGACCCTTGCTGCCGGAGGCCACCATTTGGTCCATCATTATGCAGCTAACCGCCGGCCTGAGGGCCATCCATCAGGCGGGTCTGGCTTGCAAGTAAGTTAGAGCCCTCTTCTTAGTTTGTCAAGAATTAATTATAATATTGATCTTTTAGGGTTCTGGATCCCACAAAGATCATAGTGACGGGCAAGCGTGTGCGTTTTAGCTCCTGCTGCATCTCGGACATTACGCAATTCGATCCAAATGCAGCCAATCCATTGGCTCTGGTCAATATGCATCAGCAGGTAATAAGGCAATTTATTTAATTGATTTCTATATATTTATTTAATATTTTACTATGTCTTTTTAGGACGATCTAACTGCTTTGGGTCGCTTAGTATTAGCTTTGGCCTGCCGCTGCCTCCAATCCGTGCAACGCGACAATGTCCAGTCGAGCATTGACATGGTCACGCGAAACTACTCCACCGATCTGCGTAACTTTATAGTGTAAGCAAAGCTTTAACTCTGTTTAATTGAATCTTTATTAATTGCTTGTGATCTCTTTAATAGTTACCTCTTCACCACGAATAACCGTCGTTCGGTGACCGATCTGATGCCAATGATTGGTGCCCGCTTCTATACGCAATTGGATGCACTTCAGAGTCAGATAGATATGCAGGAGGATGAGCTGGCCAAGGAGATGGAGAACGGGCGGGTGTATCGCATTTTGGTCAAACTTAATAGCATCAATGAGCGACCCGAGTAAGTTAATGATAGAAACTCTTGAAAGATCAACAGATTTTTACCATAAAAGGCGGACTTTAACTTATAGCACTCATTTGAAGATCGAATATAAGAATTCTTGTAATTGCTAGCTTATGTTTTACGCAAAATTAAGTTAAAAACCATTCTTTAATAATTGTTATTTAACCCACAGCTTCAATTTGGACTGCACTTGGTCCGAGACTGGTGATAGATACATGTTGAAATTATTCCGTGATTATTTATTCCATTCCGTCACTGAGGATGGCCGGCCCTGGCTAGATCACGCACATATTGTCCAAAGCCTCAACAAGCTGGACGCTGGCTGCATAGAGCGCGTTAGTAAATCGAGATTATATTGAAAATTGTTATAAATAATAACATAATGCTTATACAGGTGCAACTGATGTCTCGCGACGAGCAATCGGTACTCATTGTCTCCTATGCTGAACTCAAGAATTGTCTGGAGAACGCCTTCTCCGAACTGATGTCAAGTGCGGCCAACTGAGAGAGCGGTCGAGCGTCTCGGAAAGCAGGAAACTAGAAACACGCGCAGCTCACTTAGCCACCACCACCACCAATTCCTCCTACGACCACTGAGAGCGACTAAGATTTAAAGAGGAACGGATTAGCGATTAAGCGAAACATTCATTACGACTAAGAAGACATTTGAGAACCATTAAACAAGAGTAAAATACGAAAACTGTATATTGTTAAGCCCAAAAAACCGAAAAAAGAAACGTAAAACTAAAAACGCAAAAAAAAACAAAAAACTAAAACTAAATGATGAAAAACTGATATCCAATGTTAATGTTAGATCTTAACTACATTTTAGGCATTTAAAGAGAAACGAAAAAAAAGCAACAACCACAAAAATAAACCAGCAACAACAACAAAAGCAACTCAAAAACAACAACAACAAAAACCAACTTTTTGAAAACGAAATCTCTCCAAAAAAACAAATGAAAAAAATCATAAAAAATGCAAACAAACAAAAAACAAAAACTTAAAAGCAAAAAAATTCGAAAAATCTGTTAAAAAAAGGAAAACGATAAAAAAACGCATAAAAAATGGGAAAAAGAAATCACATGGATCTATTTTTACAGAGCTAAGAGAAAAAGAAAGAGCATGAGAGAGATTGGAAGAGAGGATGAAAGTATTTATAAAATATGTATTAAAAAAAATCGAAAAGAAAAAAATTGTAAAATTTTGCAAAACAATAAATATGTGTAATAACTGTAATTGACAACAACAAGGCAGCAAAATCGTTGAGCAAACAACAAAAAAAGATCGAGAAATTCAAGTGCAGATGTAGATGGACTAAGGACTATGTAAGGATTATGTAAGAAAGTGAACACAAGGAACCACATCAAATGTTTATAAAGCATGTCGTGACAATGATCGCCTGCCTCTCTTCTCCCCTACAAACAAAAAAGCAAAAGCAAACAAACAAAAAGTAAATAAGAAACGAAACAAAATGGTAAAAGAAAAGCCGAGAAAGCTATGGTAAAGCGGACTTAGATGTGCAGGAGAAGAACAAACAACAACAGCAACCGAGAAACGTTTTTATTTTTCAACTGTGTATTTTTTATAGCAAAATATTTTAAAAAACGAAACGAAAACGAACAAAAAAGAAAAGAAAAAAAAACCAAAAAAGTAAAACACAAACAACAAATTTTCTAAATACAATTTAAAAAGTTTACAAAAGAAACCAAAATGAAAAAGAGAAAACGAAAATGTGAAACTATGTGTATTTGTAATGAAAAAGAAATGTAAAATGTTGGTTCATGGAACACACGACAGGCGACTTTGGACTGAAAAAGTCTAGGCCACAGCGTGATATGTACATAGACATCCATTTTTGAAAGAGAGTCTTCGGCACACACACAGACACACACTTGCCATGCATTCTGCATATTCGAACTATTTTGCGTTGGTCCAGATTATAATAGTATATAGTATACAGAATGTGTAGTATTTATGGCCAAGCACGCGCTGAAACATCCGAGTACAATATTTTGCTAAGGAAAGTCTGTCTCTATAGTTGTAAACTAAACAAAAACGCTCCTCAACTCAACTCAACTGAACTAAACTCGACTCGACTCCCTGCAACTTCCATAACTTCCGACACCAAAATGCTATTACGTATATCCTGAAACCCATCCGGAAGTCGCGTTGCTGCATATCACCCATTTCGAAATCGAAATCGAAATCGAAGAAAAAAAGGCTTCAACTACTCCGCACCACCAACAATAATTAAAAAACGGCTGAAAGAAAGAAACTTTTTAATATTATATTATTAAGTTCAAAACTTGATTTCGATTGATATCACTTTCTGTTGCTCCAATGAAGGGAATAGGAAACGCGAAAATGTGTGAAACGTACGAAATCTTAAGGATCAAATTTATATAGAGTCCACTTACACTCATTATTATTATTAAATTCCCCCTTTAGAAAAAATCAGTTTTCAATTTCAAGGCAATTCTATCCTAAGTGTTATGAAAATCAGTAGTAAATGATGATAATGCCAGTTCTTTGTGTGATTTATCCAAAATTTGTTTACTTGTTGATTTGCTCCTCAGAATGTTATTCACACAACAACAAAAATGTTTGCAATATTTTATTCTTGATTATTTGTTTTTACAACTTTTATATACTTTATTCTCTCTTTCCATTTTTGGTCAAGATTACTATTGCGTACTTTATTTTTAAATTATTGTGTACATTAACGTAAGACTAATTATTTAATTGAAAAACGAGAAACGAGTAAAAATTAAAAAAAATACAAAATGTAAAAAAAACCAAAACAACTTTTTGAGAAAACCAATAAAAAAATCATAAAATTTTTAAATTAATGTTTTTCTTGGATTTGGGATTTGTATGGAGGAATTATCTTGATTATATTTTGATGGAAACGTAAAAACAAAATGATTTGTTTTATTTAATTACTATTTTAGATGGTTCATTATGCTTTATTTCAACACTAAAAATAATATTTACGGAAGGTACTATAGATATATCTTCTTTAAACATTTTTAAGCAAGATTACATCTTGAATATTAGACTTATCTTAAAAATTACAAAGAAGAACAATCTGTATTAAACAAAAAATTAATTAGTTTTCCTTTAAAATTCTTTGTTATTCATTTCTGTTATCGCATTTTTTAGGGTTATATTTAGGGAGGGTCTTAATAATGTATTGTATTAAATATTACCTCTACATTTTTTAAACCAAAGACTATAAAATTAAATATACTTTATATATATTGTATATATTATATACTCTTTGGAAAAACACGCAGAGGGATAAAAATATTGTCCTACAAATCCGATTAAGATATTTCATATATTAAACTAGACAAAAAGTCTATAAATGTTTAATATTTGATTAGATATGTCCTAAAAGAAATTAATTTTAATACCAAAATATTTTATAAAAATTATGCAAAAATTTCAGCCTTAAAATATTTCCAATGCCACCTTTGATAAGAATGTGCTATTACAATCTCCTGGGGTTAAAGAGGGTTAATAAAAATAAAATGATAACAAACGTAACACAGATAAGTCACAGGGTAAAATTCTTTCCCTTGATATGCTAGTTAATTTTGTATATAAGGCACTAGATCGGCCCTATATAATATATAGAAACAATAATGATTTGCCGGCTCAATTCAAAACAAACCATAATGCGAGGGCATGCGCACTCGGCAATTGCTGCTCAGAGAGTCGAGGGTGACTTTCATATTTAGCACCTAAAAGAGTGCAACAGTTTTCGACGCATTTCGTTCGAGCTCACGTGCGTATAATTCCCAACCAATTCAAGCAGCGCCCTAATGGAGTACCCGAGGAAAACAGTGGTCAAATCACTCTGGCTTCTCTTCAGTTGTCGAATAAATCTTTCGCCTTTTACTAAAGATTTCCGTGGAGAGGAGCACTCTAATGAGTCTAAAATAATTTTTAGTAGTGCCCTGTCGCAAGACTTGGGGCCATGTGGAATACATTTAACAATTAGATCTTAAGGTTTTCCCCTCTAGTTCAAAGCAAATGAAAGACCCTGTGGTTTGGTTTTTATATTTTTATTTTAACTACGTAAATTACAACTCTATAATACAAGTGTTATTATTAAAACTTGAAAATGTACAAATTTTCACTGTGTGCCAGTTGTGTTTTTAGAAAGAAAGTATAATAGCGACAGAGAGTTTAAAGCGGAAACTGTTTCGCTTGGTTTTTTTTTAGTTTTCGAGGGTACAACAATTTAGATAGTGATTTCTAGGGCCGATCTGGTTTTGGTTATTGATCTCTTATGATTATCACAGTTTGCTATATGGAAGTTACGATCGCTTTCCATATAAACCATATAGAACGGGGTGCGGAGAGAGTGCAAGTGTTAGTGTTTCGAATCCTAGAAGAAAGTTTTCCGGTTGTGTTTTTCAGTTTTCTTTGTTTCTTGTGCGAATTTGTAACTAAGACATAAAAACTACTTACTTCACTAAGTTAGACCTATTAATTAGTGTACAAAAAATTCAGACGAAATTTAGCAACGTTCTTGTGTCTCGAGTATTTCGTTAGTTTCGGGCGGGGACGGCGGCAGCAAAAAAAGAGTTGTTTCGTGGCAGTTTCGCGTTTAAAAACTAAATTTAGGGCATCGTTTTTTATAATATTATATTAACAATATTAACATCTTTTTCTTCCACAGATCTCACTTAGGCTGGCGCCTCCGTTGGCGCGTGGCAACCCTCGACGTTCTCGGGCCAATCGCAGACGTTCTCCTGGGGATTGAAGACCAGGTTGGCAGGACACGGCATGTGGTGTTTACGCTCGCCCTCGCACATGTAGTAGTGGGTGCAGTCGGCCCAGTCCTTGTGGTAGCTAATGTGGCCATCCTCCTCCGCACAGGTCACCTCGTGGGCTATAATGAATGGTAAGTGTTAATTAAACTTTATAATATATATCAAATACTAATAAACACTTACGATCCTTGGTGGTGTAGGCTCCTCGTGGACCATGGGACTCATAGGGTCCATCATAGTCCAGCTCCACCTTGTAGTCCTTCAGCTCATCGTTCAAGGCAGTCAGCAAAGGATACTTGCCACTGCCGCAGCGTCCGGAGAAGTCATCCATGTCAATGGACCACACCATGATGCCACCAAAGCCCTGCTCCTTCAGCCATTCGGTCTGGAAATCAAGAACTGAGTAAGTACTTAACTTTATATTTATGTTATCCTCCTACCTTGGTCTTCAGCGACCGCTCATCATCGAATCCCACCCACTGATTGCCGCGATAAGCGAAAGGCACCTGCTGCTCCGAGTCCCACACCAGTGTGGTATTATCCGCTGCCAGGAAGGAGCAGACCTCATAGTAGCTTAGGAATCCAGCCTCATTGGTGAACTTGCCGGCCTTGCCTCCACCCGATGAGGGTGATCCAATATCAAACTGTGTGTCGTTGACCAGCTCAAAGCTGCGGCCATAGGTGGGCATGCCAATGAGGAGCTTCTCCTTGGGAGCACCCTGCTTCACCCACTCCCTGGCACTGTAGTCCACAGTCAGTTTCTTCTGATAACCAGTGGCAGATTCCAAAGCAAACAGCGGTGAATTGTGACCCACAGTGCGTTCCCATTGACCATGGAAGTCGTAGGTCATTACATTAATGAAATCCAAGTACTTGGAGATCTCCGGAACATCATAGCCAGCGGCAATGGCCTCAAAGGAGGCAGGCACAGCGGCGGTGAGCAGGAGACGTGGCAATCCCGATGACTTGGCCTCACCCTCGAAGGCCACTCGAAGCTCCTTTAGCAGACTCACATAGGCCACACGATCCTCGGCACCACGGGGATATTCCCAGTCCACGTCCAAGCCATTAAACTTGTAGTCACGCAGGAAATCAATGGCCTCATATACAAACTGGTTCATACGGAACACATTGGAGGTGAGCTCCTTGAAGGGGGTGGAGCCAAAGGCCCAACCACCGATGGCCAGCAAGATCTGAAGATCGGGATTAGCATCCCTTAAAGCAATGACACTCTCATAGTTCTCTGGATCATCATCGGTGGCTTCCGTCAGCTTGTAATCCTGCAACGTGGCAAAGGCATACACAATGTGGGTGCAGAGCTTAGGATCGATGTTCTCCGGCTGGAATTTGCCTGCTCCTGGTCGCTTGGCTGACCAGCTGGTCAGGTAACAGAACACCTGAGCGGGACGAGCTAGGGATATAGAGTTTTGATTAGAGATTTGCCTCCCTGGAAAAGTATTTCTATGTAAACTTACTGTTTGTGTCAACCGCATTGGCTCCAGACTTGATGCGCTGCTTCTTGAGGATCTGGGGTTTGCGTACCTTGTTCAGGACCTCATCCACCGAGATCTTGATAGGCTCCGGTTTCTGGAATTTAAAAATTAAGACAGGAATTAATAATTTGTTGACTAATACTAGTAATCGAAACCCACCTCTTCAATATCCTCAAATGTGGCCGCAATGGCTGTCCAGTTCACATCCTTGGCCTCCTTGCCGCGGGAGATGCCCAAAAGCTCTTCCCTCATGGCTCCAATCAACGGATATTTGACATTTCCGCCGCATACCTCACCCTTGAAGTCATCCATGTCAATAGTCCAGACCATGGCACCTCCGAAACCATTCGACTTGATCCAATGCATCTTATTCCTGATGGCTCGCTCATCATCAAAGCCAACCCACTGATCACCGTCCACCAGATAGGGAACCTTCATCTCATCATCCCAGACATAGACAGCGCCATTGAGCAGCATCTCGCAGATCTCGTAGTAGGCCAGGAAACCACTCTCCTTAGTGTAGACACCTTCGCGTCCACCTCCCGAGGCTGGAGCATTGGGACCATGCTTATCGGTATTGGCCAATGTGAAGGAGCGTCCATAGGTGGGCATGCCAATGACCAGTTTCTCCTTGGGAGCACCCAGCTTGACCCACAAACTGGCTGCATTGTCCACGGACAACTGTTTGCGCCACTCGGAGTCGGTAGAGGGAGCATACAAAGGAGCATTGTGTCCCGTTTCGCGTTCCCATTTGCCGTGGAAATCGTAGGCCATCAGGTTGATGAAATCCAAATAACTGGCGATGGCGGGGACATCGTATCCACCACGAACATTGTCGGGTCCTACAGGTACTGCAGCAGAGAGCAAGAGACGAGGTTTCTTCAGTTCCTGGGCTTCGGCCTCAAAGGCTTCACGCAGCTCCTTTAGCAGCAGGACAAAGTTCTTCTTGTCATCAGATCCCTTGGGGTATTCCCAATCCATGTCCAGGCCATCGAATCCGCGCTTGCGCAGGAAGGGAATGGCGGAGTACACAAAGGTCTGGCGGGTGTAACGTGTGGCCGACATATCCTTGAACTTCTGAGTGCCAAAGGACCAACCTCCCAAAGCCAAAAGGATCTGTAAATTGGGAAAATAGAATTCGATTCAGAATACCTTTTATTTGCTTAAAGTTAACCCACCTTCAACTTGGGATTTGCCTTGCGCAGGTTCATCATTCGCTCGTAGAGACCCGGTGTGGTGTCCTTTGTCTCATCGTTGGACTCATAGGAGCTCAGCTTACCCTTCTTCAGCCAGCCAAAGGCAAAGATAATGTGAGTGCAGAGATCGGCGGGTATATCTTCTGGCACAAACTTGCCAATCTTGACACGATACTGTGACCAGTTGGTGTAGTAGCACACAATCTTGGGCGTGCCATCATCCACCTTGGTCTTCTTGCCTTTAAGGGAAGATCCACTGGCCACCAGGGCAGATCCACCAGCCGCTGCTGCTGCTGCTCCGGCAGCTGCTCCGCCCAGTTTCGCCTTGGAGCGGAGACGAGTGCGTCGGACACTGGTGGTGGTGGCGGCTGTGATCTGATCACTGCGCTTCTCTGCTGCTGGAGCAGGTGCCTCTGTGGACTTCTTGGACTCGATGAGGTTGCTCCTTGAAGAGCTGACCGATGTTGTGGGACGTCGCAGGCGTCGACGTGTTTTAGCTGAAACGGAAGGATAGGATTTTAAGCGTTTAAAATGATTTAAAGTTAATTAGTTACCCTTTTCTTAGCTTTAAATAAGTTTTACTATACACTCCCCTCTCAAATCAAGTGCTTCGCCCACTTGTGACCCACAAAAGTGTTCAAAACTTGACCTTGCCCACGGGTTGCACAATCCCAAGCCCATGGAGACAGCGTAAAGTACAGTAGCTGACACCTGAGCGATGCTGTTGTTGTGTGTGCACCTGTCATCCGTCAGGCCATCGGTGCGGCAATGTGTGGTAATGACGGGGCTGCTGTCGCAATCTCGATCTCAATCCGCTGATCGTAGTGGCAATTGCCGATTGGATTGTCAACCACTTGCGATTGTCGAGTGTCGATAATTTCAAATTAATGTTCGTACATCGAAATTCATTTTGATTATGCCAAAAACCTCTGGCATAAGTCGTGACGCTGAGATTTATGCGGTTCTCCAAGCATCCCCACCAGTAATTAAGATATCGAAAGGTAGAGAGAGAGATATTACTTTTGGGCTTGATGCCAAAGCAAACATGCATTCGTAATTATTAATGGAATACGGCTTGGCCCACACCGGTTTCATTTGTTAATTTCGCTAAATGAGTTGAAATTGTTGCAGCAGAAATAACAATGCGAGATTATATTGCTAAACCTGTTTAAATATTTCATTTAATGGCCGTATCTTTTGCATTTTTCCACTGCGCAAGCCCACACACACGCAAACACACACACAGTGTGCCAGCACCAAATAAAGAGAGGGGTGGGAGGTGGGTGTGCGGGCGAAGGCGGTGGCTGTACTGTGCTAATGCTATTTTTAGCTCTCTCACTCGGCTCGCCAGGCGCCTCTACTTGCCGTTTGGCCGCTCGAACTCCAACTGGGGATATAGCTCAGTGGTAGAGCATTCGACTGCAGATCGAGAGGTCCCCGGTTCAAACCCGGGTGTCCCCTTGGTAAACTTTTTTGTTGCACTTCTTTTTTTTTAGAATTCTTTTCCGATCAGTCCTTATCTTTTATTTTTTTAGGAACTGTAAGGGTAATTCTTGCTGATATCAGGCTCTGTTCTCAAGTAATTTTAAGTAAAAACAGTCAATTATTGGCACTTGGAGGCTGCTGTGGAGCCTGCAGTCACACTTGGGGATATAGCTCAGTGGTAGAGCATTCGACTGCAGATCGAGAGGTCCCCGGTTCAAACCCGGGTGTCCCCTAGGTAAACTTTTTTGCTAGCGAAGTATTTTTAAAGGGGTGTTCTACAAGTAAGCTATAAAAATAAAGCATTATTTTATTTAAATAATAATTCATTTTTCTGGTTTCCTTGGCCAATAAATTATTTTTTTCCATTGCACGTAATAATCTGTACAAATAGCTTGTAATTTGCGGCCATTATTAAATGCTTAAATATCCATTTTTATGTTTCTGCAAGAGCCATAAATAATTGCATTTTAATTTCATGTATAATCGGTTGTATAATTGCAAAGTTGTTTTATTTATAACTTGCTGCTTAAATTGTCTGCCCAACCGAGGGTTAAATTCCCAACACACACCCATCAAACATGTTCGATTCCAATAAGAACATCGATGCCAGTTGTCAAGTAGCAGCTTAGCCACCGCCTGCCAACATGGGATATAGCTCAGTGGTAGAGCATTCGACTGCAGATCGAGAGGTCCCCGGTTCAAACCCGGGTGTCCCCTTGTTTTTGTTTTTTTTTATTTATTTTCTTTTAATGAATATTTTAGATTACATTTTTTTTATATTCTTGCAATGTATTTATAATTTTAGGCCATAACTATGACGGCTTTCAAAATATTTTCCTTTACTCCAAGACATGACTTTTGTATTGTTTTGAAATATTAATTTACAGCTGTCAGCGATTTAGAAATCAATAGAAAACATTACAAATGTACATAAATAATATAGATAGATCTTGGTTCAGACGAACCCTCGAAAATTGGTAGAATATATTTCTCGTTGGAAGTGAATATTGGATGCAAAGCTTTCGCTGGCATAGTTTTCCAATATCCGAGAGTGTCGCTCTCCACACCTCGCAGCTTCCCGTTTAAGCTCTTCCCATATATTTCGTCACATTCCGATATTCCAATCATTTTGCCATTTCCCTTGCACTTTGCATTTGCGTTTGCTTCGATCGGTGTGAAAACGTGCAGCTCAAACAAAAAATGTGCGGAAAGTGGGGAAAACGGCCGGAAAATCGTCGCCAGTGGTGATATTCGTGGATGGTGCATCCCCCCGTCAAGAACCTGCCTTCCGGTGAGTTGGAAAACGGATCATAGTGCGAAAATAGGGATTAGGAGTAGGAAAATCTACGCTTGGGTGACGTACACTTAAAGAGCGACTGAGGAACACAAAATTCACGAAGTGCCAGTGTTTTAAACAAGTCCCTTTAGTGTCCGACTCGGTTTCGAATTAATTTTGACTTATTTTCTCTGTCCTGAATTTGTTTTCAGTGCATATTTGTGAACTTCATCAAGAAAGAGAAAAACAGAGATACAAAAGCGCTTTCGTTGGGACTTTCCGCATCAAGAAACAGAGTGAGTAAGAAGATCATATATTTTTTTTCGCCCTCTTTTACATACATTATGGTTAATCGACGCTGCCGTTAGATTTTGTTGCTGATAAGATAATTGCCCTTGAAAGCTTAATGCAAACCAACGAAACTTAATTGGGAAGTATGCTCTCTTAGGGGAACTAGGTAGATCCTGGAATGTAATCCACATTTGTGGACTTAAAGCCCTTAAGCGGTGTTTGTGGAAATTGTTTGTTGAAAATCAAACCTTAAAAGTTTTAATAGCTTTTTAAATCGAAAGGCTTTTTCTGTTTTGTATTTAAGTTTTATGCAAACATTAAATATATTTAATGTTTTATTTGGGGTTCCCATTTTATGGTCTTTAAAATTTGCAAATTTTTCGTACCTTGTACGAAGCTTATTTCGGATAAAAGACTTTATTATCATTAATGAACTATCCCATCTCGGTCTGCAGCCTTTTATTCATTTGGAATTAAAACGTGTTATATGAAAGCTGATGTTTAATAGATTTATATTGACTTCTGTTTTGTCTTTGCCATTTGTTTTCCTTCATTTCTTTGTTTCTTTATATAATTCGTTTTTAATTACCGCTTAATAAGGAGTTAAGGTGTTATCTAGCTGGGGCTTGGCTGCCCCGCCCTTTTGCCTTTCTCTAATTAATTTTTTCAATGGGTTAAGCAACAATTGAAGTGCTGAAGTGATAGTGATAGTGACAGATAACCAATACAAGGGCTTACAAAATATGAAAAGGCATTGTTGTTTATCAACTTCCGCCCACCAACTACAGAAGAAATGTGAACGACTAAAGAAGAAACTAAAAATAGTCAAAGATAGGCATTATACCACACCCACGCACCAAGATCGAGTGCCGTTTCTTGGGTTAATTCTGGCTCCTTATATAAGTGGGGATATAGCTCAGTGGTAGAGCATTCGACTGCAGATCGAGAGGTCCCCGGTTCAAACCCGGGTGTCCCCTTGGTAAACTTTTTTGTTTGTCACTTGTTTTTACACCCTTTTTTATTGTACTTATTATTCTTATTAATTAAATCTACTTACTTTGCGCACTGTCTGTGGCAGGTGAGAGCAAGACAATAAGCAAACATATCACAAAAGCGATTCGCAGCAATCGCGGTGGAAACTGTGAAAGAAATGAGAAACAAAATGTAATTAATCACTCGGGGTTTATGCTTTGATGTACGATTAATAATCTGTGATTTATTTATATGTGAGGAGGTGGAGCATGTCGTATTTCGACAAATTACGTGGCACTTGTTCGCCGGCTGCCACCTGAAATTGGGCCACAGGGAAGGTCATTCGAGCACTTGGCACAAGTGTGATCCCGCGGGGTCAGTTCCCTTCGGCGCCCACGAAACCCATCCAAACACGTCGCATCGCATCGACATTGACCCAGTTCCTCACCGACCTGATCCGAGTCGATTGCTCGGCCAAACTAATTAGCAATTAGCCCGTTGTTGCTGCCCATAATTATTCAACTCGACTGTCACAAGTTATGCGCCTGTGCCGGCCCCTCCATTGTTTATTGTTTTTGAGGGGGGAGCGAGTGCTTATAGAGCTGTTTAAAATTTTGGCCTAACATCTTCAGTTGCACTTTGGACGCTTATTAGCCGTTTTTGTGAAGAGTCACTCGACTTTGAAAGGCAGTTCCTCTGCGACCAGGGTGACCTCCAGACCCATTCACCTGGGTTCTCCAAAGTGACGGGAAGAGGCTGGTCGTTTTTCACATGCTGAAATATTTATTGAAAGCTAACACAGATGGTACTTTAAATTGTCACAAGAAAATATCATAAAATATTTACAAATAATAATAGAGATCATTAGTTAAAACATCTAATAACTTTTTCTACATTTAAACAATTCCCTGCTAACTTCTTAAATTTACTTTTGATTAGTGAAAGTGTGGAAATATTAATGATATCTAAAAAGAAAAAAAGAATAACAAAACCTGTTTGCTTGAATAACTTATAAGCTTCATTAATAGTTTCTGAAAACTATGAAAATCGAGTCTAAAAATGACTTAAATAAAGCACCACGAATTAAGAATAAAGAAACCAAAATTAGCTATTATGATTTCCTGCTTAAGCAAAAAATAAAAAAAAAATAAATAGCATTAGGAAAAGAATAATTAATTATAAATGGCGAGCTTGGCTTTGACCTAAACATTAGCAAAGATAAATCTAACGACACGCCAATTAAATGCAACGTGCTGACAGTATCTTCAATTAAATCTAAACAAATCTAAACAAATTTTATTTTAAAGTTTCCAACGAAAACCATTAACCTTAAAAATCTAACAAAATGAAAGAGAATGCTGTTATATGTTTAAAAAATATCTAGTTTTATGTTTGCCTAGACAAATACTAAATTCTTTATGTGTACCTTTCACATGGCTTTTGTTTATGTTTATTTTTACTTGTAGTTTTGTAGATATTTTTTGGCAATACCTTTACCTATATTATTAAGAGCCTCTCTGGGCCATTAGCCGTTCACCTGTTTGGTCATTCCGCTGGCATCTCCATTAAGAACACCTTACACAACGGCGAGGTTATGCAAATTAGGCCTCAGGCTCTCAAAAACCAACAAACAGTTAGAGAGAAATGGCCAGAATTGGCACAGGCATGAGTTGATTTTTAAGTGCCAAATCTTACAGTTAGAAAGCTAACTTTGTATAACTTTGGATATATACCTGGCCAGGTATCGCTCAAGGTCGTGTCACCAAAAAAGGTTAACTAATTTATGGTCACATCCCCGCAATTAATCCCCGTGTCCATGTCGTTCTCAGTGGATCGCAATTTCCTTAGATCTTTCGATTGCTCGAACAAAACAAAAAAAGTGAAACTGGTTTCGACTTAGATATATACCTTTTTTTTTGTTTTTGGGCTATTTATTTAAATTAATTTACGGCTGCATAAATTACCAAGAGTCTCTCGAAGCAAAAGCAGCTAACGCAAAAGGTTCCTTATCGCGTGTGGCCAGTTAGACAGAGTTTGCCATGGGGAGACGGAGGCTGTATATTGGGGATTGGACTCGGACTGGACCAACTGGTTTGCTCTCGCTTTGGATCTTTGGCTCTGGAACTGGGCGCGGAAATAAACATGAACGGAATGACCGTAAAGAGAAATCCAACTGGGCACCGGGTTCGGGCTTGGCTCTCAAATGCCTTTCATTTTCCTTGTGCGAAAGCGAAAATCCCACTCTCAGAATGCCTGCTTTTTCTGTTTCTTTCTTATATTTATATATATTCAATTTTATTACCACTTTTTTGCTTTAGCAAATCATCTTTCAATACAATTCTTGCGTAAAATGTGTGTGTGTGTGTTTCGTTTGTCCATTTCGGGCAATTGTCCAAATCGCATTGCAAAGTTTTCCACAAATGTCCATTGTGTGTTTTGTTGGTATCATTAACTAGTGTCCATGTTGTCTAACGGCTCGCTGGAGCAAAGCCAAGTTACACAGGGGGAAAACTTTGGAAAAATACTTAGTTTTGCACTAAGAGAAGATTATACTTAATTGTTGGTTTCAGTGATAGGAACTTAATTTAATGAGAAAAAATCTGATAGATATTGGAAAAATCAAAATAATTTAGAAAAGGATTTCTAATAATTTATTACATAACTTCTAGAGTTAAAGAAAAGTGAGACTCTAGTCTATTTTCTAATTAAATCTTCTGCTTTAGAAGTACTTTCCAAGAAAGAAATTTAAAATGTAGTGTCATAATACCTTTAGTAGATATTCCTTTAATTTACCTTAAAATCTCATTAAGTATAATGTAACTATAATGCAATTAAGTAATCAGAAAGGCAGAGCCTTTTCTTTTCTTATTTATTTTTAATTCTTTATACCTATTATAATTTCTTTTAACTTTACACCAAAGAATAACACTGAATATTCTTTTGATTAGTGAAATTATATTTTCTGCTATTTTAAAATGTGAATTTTCTTTTAAATACTTTAATATTTTTAGTGTGTAACTCCTTGCCTATCCTAACATTTCTTTATTGGCTGAAAAAAGAGCCGCCTAATCGTGTGTCTGTGTTTGGTTTTTTGCGTTTGACTGTGGTTACGACAGCACCAAATAAAAGTCAATAAATAATAGAAAAAGAGAGAGGGGGAGTGCCGGGTGCCACCAATGGGTGGTTACAAGGAGAGAGACAAGCCAACTGCATTCCAGCAGCATGATTGGATTTGTTCAATTGTCTTGCGCAAAAAAAAAACAGCAAGAAAAACAGAAAAAGAAACAGCAAGTCCAAATGAAAAATCAGAGAAAATTGCATTTTCTTTAGAGCAGGGGTTTAGGTTTTGGGGATACCCTAAGATTTAGTTGTACAAAATATAGATATAACTTTTTAAAACTATATAAAATGGTAAGACTATTAGGAAACAGTCTTATTTAATATTTAATAGAATGAATAAATTAGTATAATATATAAAGGAAGTAAAATGAAAAATGAAAACAAAGGGAAAGGAAGCTTAAGGCTTCTAAGTTATATATAATAAATATTATTAATATAACCTTCAATATACGAACTCATAGTAATATTTTAAAACTTCTGAACCTTTTACATATTTCATTCTTGTTTATATATAGTCATAAATACCCCTCTTAACTCATTAATATCGAGGGTATCTGAAAAATATGAGCTGTTTTGTGTGTGATTGTTGGATTTCACTTGCACGAAAGCACAGAAAGCGCAAGAAATTGCAATTCATTTGCGTACATTTTTTCTGGCTTTTGTTTGCCATTTAATGCTGACTGTTGCTGGTGCTGGTGCTTATGATCGTGCTCCTTCAATATATTTTCAACAGGCGCGACAAATTGCGCAAAATGTTGCATTAATCATGGGCGAAAAAAAAGAGAAAAACGTTGAGGCAGTGCTTTCGTCGCGTTCGTCGCCTAAGTCTTTCGTTTTCAGTGGAGATGCAGTTGGTGCGCATGCGCACGCTCGAAAGCTGGTTTGAAGTGCGATTTATTTAAATGTGGCCGTT